CCCTTTTGGTTTAATTCTGAATCTACTCATTTACACAGTATGAGTGGACTGTTTTAAACAAGCAACATAAATCAAGATTTAAATTACTAAGTTGAAAACCTCAATATAAAATGCAAATGTTGATCCAGTTCTTTATTTATATTGCAGTAAAGATAATAAGGGACGTGGTGGGGTTGCGGGTTAAACCACAGAAGCCTCTGTGCTGCAGGGTCAGAAGACCAGCAGTTGTAAGATCGAATCCATGCAATGGAGTGAGCTTCCATCGCTTCTCCCTAGCAATCTGAAAGCATGTAAATGCGAGCAGATAAACAGGTACCACCTTGGTGGGAAGGTAACGGCGTTCCATGTCTAGTCACACTGGCCACGTGACCACGGAAACTGTCTTTGGACAAACGTTGGCTCTATGGCTTGGAAACAGGGATGAGCACCGCGCCCCAGAGTCGGACACGACTGGACTAAATGTCAAAGGGAACCTTTACCTTAAAGATAATAGAGAGTACTGATTAAAAAGTTTAATAGAATCTCTGCACTATATTTTGTACATATTTAAGAATTAGGAGTGCAACTGCACTAGAGAGCCAGATGAGTATTGAAAGTAGGGACCAAGAAGACCTAGATTCAAATTCCTGCTTGTTCATGAAAACTCATTAGACACTGGCAATGGTGTGCCATTCCTTGAACATCTCACATGCCAAACAATATCTGGTATGGTCACCATAAATCTGAAGTGAGTTCCCAGCACATTAACAACAACCAAGTATATTAACCTGAGCAGTATTTCATTAAATATTGTATTTCACCTTGTTAGAAAATGTTGTGAATATAATACTCTAGGGCTTCATTTTGAAAGGATTCCTGCCTTAAACATAGCTTAGTGTCTTAAATTATTCAGTTCAGCTGGCATATCAATAGATTGGTGAGTGTATTCCTACTAATACATTGTATTCCTACTAATTTTGATGGCAGTCAATCAATATTTATAACAAATAAATCTGCATTTCCAACACTAGTTATTGATGTTCCAAAGGCCCACTTATATTTTTCAGGAAAAGACAGGAATATTATAGTACAGGTGGAAACAATTATCTTGTCACAAACATACATTACTGCACTGTCTCAGGTGTCCTTTGGCTCTAAAGTAAAGGTAAAGGTTCCCCTTGACAATTTTTGTCCAGTCGTGTCCGACTCTAGGGGGCGGCGCTCATCCCGCTCTTCAAGCCATAGAGCCAGCGTTTTGTCCGAAGACAATCTTTCCGTGGTCACATGGCCAGTATGATTTAGACACGGAACGCTGTTTACCTTCCCACCAAGATGGTACCTATTTATCTACTTGCATTTGCATGCTTTCGAACCGCTAGGTTGGCGGGAGCTGGGACAGGCGACGGGAGCTCACTCCGTCATGTGGATTCGATCTTACGACTGCTTGGTCTTCTGACCCTTTGGCTCTAACCCACCTATATATCTACAATCAAATCTATACCATGCTTCCCCGAAAATAAGACAGGGTCTTATATTAATTTTTGCTCCAAAAAACGCAGTAGGGCTTATTTTCAGGGGATGTGTTATTTTTTTCACTTAACTAGGGCTTATTTTTGGGGTAGGGCTTATATTACGAGCATCCTGAAAAATCATACTAGGGCTTATTTTCAGCTTAGGTCTTATTTTCGGGAAAACAGGGTATATGTGCAAATATTTAATTGAATATTCAATTTCAACTTCCTATACTCTATCTCAGTCTGTTTTAAAGTAGTAAAGATGTCTGCTTCTGTCTTATTTAAGATAAATTTAAATCAAACGAGGCATGTTTACATGCAAGGCATAGATACTTCCACTTTATTTCGGTGCAACAAGTGGCTTAAGTAAGGGCAAATACTAAATTTGAAATCTAATCAGTGAAGAAATTTTAAAAGCAGTTCTGAGAACACACCTCAGGGAATTCAAAGGCAATTTTAAATTTTGCACACACATTTGTTTTACAGTTATAAAATAGAGAGCAAAACAGGCCTAACATTTTTAGCATCAACAAATTCTATGTAATCATGTAAGAGACATTACTGTCAAGCTTAAGTTCCCTATAGAATACTCGTGGCCACAGGTATGTTGAAATTAACTACTAAAAGAAAGGAAATGCTATTTATAGTAAAGCTGCCCCAAAACGAGTTCAGCTTGGTTACGAAAAGTGACAACCATGTCCTATACATCCGCAGTAGTGCCTCTGTTTCTAATCTCATACTTTGTGGTCCTGTAACTGCCATATTATATTCAAAGTACTTATTTATAGGCACAAGAAATGTTGCTTGATCTTAAGAAGCAGAAGCTACTGTCAACTACTGTGAAAAACAGCTATGGTAAATTGATTCATTATCAATTTCTTGAAATTAAATTTCCTTTATGCAGAAACCACTGCCTGAACAAAAGATGCATATTATTTTTAAAACATGCTGAAATTTTACTGTTTATCCTGACATTATTTTTTCAAGAACTTTTTATCATGTTTTTCCTTAAAACACAAATTAAACAATTATTAGAGAGCAGTAGGTTATTTCACTATATAATTATTGATCTTGCTATCCAATTTAGGAGGATAAAACAGCAAACACACTCTGAACATATTACAACTGTAAGTTTCCAGATAAATTCTGCACAAAATATGTTAGCCTGCTGCAAGAAAACTAAAAATCTTGTGTCAACATAGACTATATTATCAAAACTGAACAGATGAGCTTTAATACCTGAATGTTCACTCCACACACTTTCTATAATTAAAAATATTCAGTCATACAGTATTTCCCACTAGAGTTTACTGATGGAAAGTGCTACTGTGCTGTGTTTATTTTTCTTTTCAATATTTAAAAGTAATGAACAATCATCATTAAGGCAGGAACTGTAATGTGCATACTCATAAAAAGCAATGAGTAAAATCTAGTTTCACTTACACTTGAGACCAGGCTTGATTAGTCAATAAACTTCCATTTTCCTTTCCAAAGATAAAAGTTTATAGAAAAAATTACAAGATTAAGACTTAGTACACATTTTAGTACAGTATTTGATACTGTAGTATTTTTTATGATGCTGTTTTTCCAAATCATGAATGAATGCAATTGCCAAGATCAGTAAGGCTGCACATAGACGGCCTTTCAATCAACCTTTACGTGACTTCCACCCTCCAAAAGTGACCCAAGTTATGGGTACCTCTAGAGAAACATGCCATAAAGTACTAGAAAATTGCATTCCCAGTCCTTGTTTTAAGCAAGCAGTGTTCAACTATTGCAGGGAACAGTTAGAAGAGTAATGAGATTAGATAGATAAATTAACAGATATAGAAATACATTGTACATGTTTTTGTCCTGTGTGCGGGTGCGTGCGCACACACCCACACCCACCCCTGTGCTTAAATAGGAAAGCTGCTTGGAAGCCAAAATTCTACTTCACATCCACTTTCTTTTACCAGTGGAGACCTGGTTGTGAACATCTCACATACAATATCTATATCTCCATATATTTATCTTCAAAACCCAATGAAATTCTCACATTCATGTGCTTTATGGTTAAAAGAAGACACACTCTATAATTGCAAGGGAAGCAAACAGAGACTTAAAAGATCAATCTGACGTTTTTGTGCTAGATTTATTCATTTCTTAGAAGTCTGTAATATATCACACACCAGAACACTCCTCTGAAGTAAAAAAGGCCCTCTGACCAAAGTAGTTCAGGCAGTTTGGCTATAGAGCAGAATGGAAACATGCCAATTTAAAATACGAGCCCCTTTTCCATAAAGAATTGTAAAGCATTCTCTCTACCTTCCTTTATATGGACATGTGGCCATTTATTCCTTTCTTGCTGGACTAAATTGCCACATGTCACTCTAGATGTGAATGTGAAACAGTATTTCATGTTCAATCTCATAGAGAAATTTATATGAATGTCAAATAAACCTATAAAATAAACAAAAAACCCTGATTATCAAGGAAAGCCATACAACAAGTCAAGTCAATGAAGCAGAAATGAAATGGCTTCCCTGTATAAATGGCATTATGAATCACTCTAAATATCACTGTTTACCACTGGCATACTCAGGAATTTAAAAAAATAGGTTCAGGCCTACTCATCTAAAGTATTTATTGAAGCAATCTGGCAAGTAAGGAACGCTACAAGAATGTGTAACCCAAAACTCGGCCTCGTCGTGTGCAGTGCCGTTTGGCAGCAGAAAAAACAATACGTTTTCACTCCTTTGTTGTCCGCAGTCTTAAAACCATTTTTTTTTTCTAAATACGCCCTAGCAACATTTCCGGATTCGAGAAGGCCTTTCTTTCTTTTTTCTTCCTCCCTCCCCACTGACAGGCAGGTTCCAGCAACAAGCCCTTTAAAGCAAAGAAACTTTTCCACGGAGCTTACTCACAAAGACAACAATGCGAGCCTCTCTCCCAACAGACAACGACCAGGAGCGGCGCAGGCCCCCGACAAGCTCGTCCGTCCCCTCTGGACCCCTCCCCGTATTAATTCCCCCGGAATTCCCTGCCGGCTCCTTTTCCCCATCCTCGTCACCATCACAAAGGTTGGTCGGGAGCCTGTTGTCGAAGGCGGCAGAGGAAAAGAGAAGCCCTCCTCTCTCTCCCTCCCTGCCTACCTCCACAGACCAAGGGGGCTGGGAGTGGAAGGGGCAAGTCACCCGCCTCAAGCCCTCCTACGGGTATACCCTGAGGGGCCCCAGGGCCCTTCCTTCCTTCCCGCACCCCACAACGAGCGCGGGGCCGGCGCTGGGCCCCTCACGGCTGCAGCCCGGTGGAAGGCGGACGCCTCCCATTATTCTTCATACCACCATCGCCGCCGCCACCACCACCCCTTCTCGGGCAGGGCCGGGCCAAGCCAAAACAAAAAACAAAAAAAGAAGCCGAGGCGGGAGGGATGCCTTGAAAAAGCCTCCCCCAGTTCTGTCCCGTCCCGCCCCGGCCTTAGCCAGCTGCGGCCCGCAAGGCCCCAGCAGCCCAACGCGACGGTACCTTCGCTCCGCGGCGAGGAGACGGCGGGCGCTTGCCTCCTCCTCCTCCTCGTCCCGCTACGGCGTCGGCTGCCTCTTGGTCGACGCCTCCGCCGACGGCGCTCGTGGGCCTTGGTTCGCCTCAGTAGTCGGCCTCCCTGGCCGCTCCCCCACCCCGCGGTCCTGGCTACGCAGCGACCCCTTAGCTTCTCTTCCCTTCCCTTTCCCTTCGCCGTCTCCGCTCTTCTCTCCTCTTCCCAGCCCGGCGGCGGATACTAGCGACTGACGAGAGGCGGTCAGGAAACAGGAGAAAGCCCGGCGAGCTCGCCCGCCCACTCGTTGCTGCCCCCTGCGGCGTGGCGGAGCATCAGCACACAAGGCAGCCGCCGGTCAATTCCTGTGAGCAGGGCCGGAGGCCATCCGGGATGATGTGTTTCACTTCGCATTCGTTGCAGTTCGTAATTCGGGGTATGTGAGAGCCGTGTAAGCTTGTGGCCACGTCATCAAATACAGATGCATATAACATCCACTTGTAATGTGCCTCTGATATATACAATATATATGAGATATTTAGCTAGTGGATGAAGTGATGGACTAAGACTAAGGAGGCCTGGGTTCAAATCCCTGTTCTGCCAGGCAAATTCACAAGGGATGGGATGAAACTGATAAAATCATTCCTTAAATATCTTACTCACTTTGATAGCCCTATTAGGGTCTCTATAAACTTGGTGCTGACTTGACAGGGCATTACATGAGATGTTTAGGAGTGCTGCACTGTTAGCACACTCAAATGACTTTACCTGGCAGAGCAGGGATTTGGACCCAAGTCTCCTCAGTCTTAATCCACCACCGTATCCTGTACATACTATATAGGTTTTCACAGGTAAATAACCACACATTCTCTCAACCAGTATTTAGATCACTAGATTTGTTTCTGAAGACGTTTCTACAAAAGCGCACACTGAAAAAAAGTATTTTAGCCTTTAAATTGCCAGCTACCTTGTTCATATAGTGTGATAAAATGCACTGGTATCTGTGTAAGACTCTAGATGCATGCTGGTGTTTGTAGATATAGCTGTTTCAGCTGTTTCATGACCATGTACACTGGGTATGTAAACCTGCAGTCTCCTTGCATTCAAATGCATGAAATCCTGTTACAGTACTTGGTGTAATCAGTTGCAACTATGGTAGGCCTATTGAATCAGTGGAACTTACGGAAGAGTTGACTCACCAAATCTCTAATTTATTCTATGGGCCTCATCTAGTTGTGACTTATTACAATAAGCAACAAGATATCAGACAATGCATTGTGTCTTCAGAGGATTTGTTAACCCACAAAAGTTCACATTGAAATAAGCCTAGTAGTCTTAAATATGTCATAAGCCTTTTGTGTGATTTTTGACAGATCATTGGTTGATCAGCTATTGCTTGGTAACTTCTACGATGTTTGTAAAGCCTTTATATGTTTGTTTTAAATGTTTCTTTATCTCTTAAAGAGATCAAATGCTACATAAAATATGTAGTCATAAGCTACAATTTGGCAGTACTATTGAAAAGCAATAATAACATGAGCAATAATTTAAAATGCTTCCATTTAAATGGAATAAAATGGAATAACAGACCAATTGTGAACAACCTTTTCCAGAATCTGTATTAATTTAAATCTGGTATAACTGTTTGCAGCTAATTGGCAAGGCACCAGAGTGCATCTTGATTGCACAATTGGACACGTGGCCAGGAACGTGACCAAAACAATCACTGATGTCTCTCAACTGGCTGTGCTGTTTGTTAGCTGCGGCAATCCTTATGTGAACACCAGTAGGATTCTGGCACCATCCTTAAAGCCTACTTTGAACACAGGGAGGGGAATCTAAGTAAATCTCATTTTGCAGAACTTCCAAAGTGAGGGCACCGCCACCAAGAAGAGCCAGTTTCTTGTTCTTGATGAATGGCAGCCTTCTGAGCCCAGTCTGAGAGGCTAGTCTTCATAGCTACACATGAAGGTTGATTGGGAACTACTGGTAGACCTCTGGTTGACTTCCAATAGATAGATTGTCAAGGATTTCTGATTCTCAATCATTTGGCCGTACTGTGTCCTCTTAAGTTATCCTACTGAAATTGTTACTGGGATATGGGGAGACTATAAAAATGCTGGTCTGTTTTGAAAGAATTGTCAGCATCACAGTTTCTGGGCTGTGGGGAAACCTTTCAATATGATCTGATTTCCTTTCCCTCCCCCCCCCATCTATAATACTGAACTAGTACCATCCCAGTTTGAAAGAAATAAAAATAAAAATATTTAAAAATTTTAATTTTTAAATGGTGGCAGCAGCAAGTGGCTGTGAGAGAGAGCCAGCTCAAGGGAGGGAGGGCACCATAGTTCTGTTACATTTGAGGCTTTGTCCTGTGCTTGCCCACTCTTGTGCTGGCTGCCCCTCACCATTTGCTGCCACCCAAAATCTGTGATCCTGGCATCCGTTACTTGACAAACCCCACAGACAAAACTTATTCCAACACAGGTGATCACCACAATTGAATTAAAATAAGCAACTCCTTTGAAGCTGTTGAAAATGCCTCACCTTCTGAACAAAAAAAAAAACATGCTTTCCAGCCAAAAGGTATACATCCTGTAAACATATGTTTTTAAACGAATTTCAAACATGCTAAACCTGATGCAAACATAGGACTATTCTGACATGTAACCATACCCTAAGCTCTGCTGAATTTGGTGAACTTTTCTGAGTGGACATGTATAGGATTGCACTGTTTCCTCCTATGAAAAAAACAGATCTGAAAAATGCTTCATTTTAGTGACATAGCCATTATTTTCACTGAGTTGTTTGAAGAAAGAAACAGCAGTTAGATAGTTCACTTTCTGTGGTCCCTAATATAATGCAAAATTAATGTCTTTGCCTTTGGGCAGGCGTTCCTAGGCAGGTGTGTTTCAGTCTCCAGGGAGCCAGCCTGTTGTTGTTCATCTTACAGTTTCTTCACTGGCTTTGTAAGAGGGTGGTAAATGCTTTCAGCGTCAATATTAAAAGGGTGTGCATACATGAGTTCAAACACCACCAACATGTAATTAAAATGTTCAAGTTTCAACATACATTTTATCTGGAGTAAAAGGGGCGGACAAATACAGAATGAGGGTATCTTAGATAGGGTTATTCTGCACCCTGTAGTTCCTCAAAAACTTCAACATGTCCCTGAGTTATTTCTGGTAATAATACACCATTGCTTTGAATGTAAGAGCTTCATCAGAGGAATGTTGAATCAGACCAGCAGTTTGTTCTTAGAATAACCAACAAGTTACTTACACAAAGCCTCTGTGCCATTTGTGTACTGTGGCAAACAAGCAGAGGAGCACACTTCCTCTGATCTGAAAGGTTGTGTAAATCTATCATGCAGTCATTGATAACCTTGTCTGCCATTCATTCTTCTAATCCTCTTCTAAAGCTAGCTGTGTTTGCAGCTATCCCCGAATCTTGTTCCATGGTTAATTCCATATTTTAACTTCCCCTTGTAAGAAGAAGTACAATGGTGCCTCGCAAGATGATGTTAATTTGTTCAGCAAAAAACGTCATCTTGTGAAAACATTGTCTTGCGAAACATGGTTCCCCATTGGAATGCACTGCAATCTGCTTAATGTGTTCCAATGGGAAAATCGTCATCTTGCGAAAATCGTCCATAGAAAACATTGTCTTGCGAAACTCAGTTCCCCATTGGAATGCACTGAAATCTGCTTAATGCTCCAGTGGGGAAAAATCATCATCTTGTGAAAACCGTCCATAGAAAACATCGTCTTGCGAAGTGCAACAGCGATAGCAAAAACTAATTGTCTTGCGGATTAATCGTCTTGCGAGGCACCACAGTACTTCTTTTTATCAGTTTGGTATTCCCTACTATATAGCTTCGCTAGATGATTCCAGTTTGCAATATAAAGCAGATAAGTGTGCAACGTCCAACTGTGCAACTGTTCTACCCTGACTCTCATACTCACAGTGTTTCTAAGATTTATACCTATGGCCACTGAGATGTTTTAGGGATTTTTCTCCCATCAAATTTACTGAACAGGAATCAATCCTGAAATTTGCTTGAGATTACCTTTTCCACTTTAATTAAAAAGGAAACTGTCAAAGGTTGCAGTGAATACAGAAGCGAGAATGAGAGGAACAATAGAAAGGGGGAGGGGGAGGCCTCAAATGCTGTAACCAGACTGCTTAGTTGTGTATATACAGCATATGTGCCCACCATCATCCACATGGGCTCTGATGTCATTTCCCCCCAAAGGAGAACTATTTCAAGCTATTTGTAAGCAGTTTTTGGTGGATTGTCTTGCTCCCCGGACAGAAAAAAAAGTTGCACTCTCCAGAGGTAGTAGCCAGGAGCAGTCTAAACTTGCCGCCCGCCCACAGTGAGAAGCAAGGTGCTACTCCCATCATGCCAAGCCACCCACTCCCTTCCTACAGCAAAATACATTAAATTCCCTTTTCCTCTTTCCTACCTCTTTCCAAGACCAATATTGCTAGAAGGGTGGGAGAAGAATTGGTACTAGGTTGCCAGAAGCACCAATCGGGCTCTCTACAGAGGCAGCTTCTTCCTGTGAATGGCAACTCCAGAGGAAGAGAGTCCTCAGAACCAAGGCATGGCAGAAGGGGAGATCACACTCTGAAACAGGCAACTGTAGAAACCACTCATCCCATTATATCTGGATTCCAGCAACTATCCCTCTTGGGCCTCAGATTTGTGAGAAGGGGCCGTCCCAGCAGAAAGCTGACTCCTGAGTCTGGGGCCACAGCAGAAAGGTAGCACCGCATTTGCTACTCCAAGCACTGTGATGTCTGAGGCATCACCCTCCGTGAGGCTGGTGGTAAGGCCAGATCTTGTAATATCCCAGTCTATGGGATTACCTTAAACTTATTCATACAGAACAGTGATGGTAGCTGTGTTGATTCCATAGAAACAAAAGAAAACCTAAAAATGACAGGGTAAAAAATGATGCCTTTATTAGAACGAATTGCAGTTACACAGCACGTGTGCACGCTTTTGAGTTCTTCATTATTTTAGCTGGTAAAATATTAATGGAAACGGGGAGAAAAGCTTGTGAATTCTAAAAATAGGATTTTTTTTCAGAAACTTTTTTTTTTGCCAGAAATACAGGATGATAATGGACCAATCCTCCCCCAGTACTCTTACCTTGTAGATGGGGACCACACAGCAAGTTAAGCATTCATAAACATAGTGCTTAGTCTTGCTATACACTAGTATGGCACAGCCCTAGCCTTCAGGCAGGGGAATTTGGAGTGG